TCTACGCAGCTGCCTCTTGCCAACTTGAGTGATGACCTCCAGGAGCTGATCCTGCTCCTGATTGGAGGAGAGCAGCGTACTCGGCATGTGGGCAGCTGGTTGGGATTGGCGGAAGAGGACTATAAAGGAGGAGAGAGACAACATGCACCAGGAACATCTAAGGGGAACATCTATCTGAAGGAACACCTGTGCAGCCCCCGAGAGAGCCGGCTGGTGGTGTACCGCTCCCCCGCGGAAGTGGGGAATGTGGCAGGGGGAACCGCCCTTCCACGGAGGTGGAAGGGACGGTAGCCAACCCGGGAAGAACCAGCAGCAAACCCGGGGAGGGCCGAGAAGATGAAAGAACAGCGCAGGGTCCTGTGTTGTTCCTCCACGAAGACGGGGAGCGACAGCCGGCGCCGCAGGCAGAGGATTAGCCTATTGAGCCGTGGCACTGGCTTGTCAATGCTAACTTTGAAAGTAACTGGATTAAATTCCCCAGCCAAAAAATTTAGGTTGAATGAATGTATAAAAAAAAACAAGATCTAACTTTATGTTGCCTACAAGAAACTCACTTCACAAATAAATATACACATAGACTGAAAGTGAAGGGCTAGGAAAATATATACCAGGCAAATGGAAACCAAACATGAACAGAAGTGTCTATACTCAGGTTACATAAAACAGGCTTTGTGGGGAGCAACTCGGACTAGACTAAGTTACTGGAATTAAGACTTATTCTATGCATCTGCTCTCCCACAATATGGCGCTGGGAGAGGAGAAAACAGCTTCTACGCAGCTGTCTCTTGCCAACTTGAGTGATGACCTCCAGGAGCTGATCCTGCTCCTGATTGGAGGAGAGCAGCGTACTCGGCGTGTGGGCAGCCGAGTTGGGATTGGCGGAAGAGGACTATAAAGGAGGAGAGAGACAACATGCACCAGGAACATCTAAGGGGAACATCTATCTGAAGGAACACCTGTGCAGCCCCCGAGAGAGCCGGCTGGTGGTGTACCGCTCCCCCGCGGAAGTGGGGAATGTGGCAGGGGGAACCGCCCTTCCACGGAGGTGGAAGGGACGGTAGCCAACCCGGGAAGAACCAGCAGCAAACCCGGGGAGGGCCGAGCAGACAAAAGAACAGCGCAGGGTCCTGTGTCATTCCTCCATGAAGAGGGGGAGCGACAGGCTTTAACTGAAAAACTATAAAAAGAGACAAAGACAGACATTTGATATTGATAAATTGATCAATTGATATATTGATTAATTCAGTAAGAATATATAACAATCATAAATATATATGCACCCAATATAAGACCACCCAGATATGTAAAGCGAATACTATTAGACCTAAAAGGAGAGATAGACTCCAATAGTAGAGGGGAATTCAACAACCCACTGCCATCAATGGACAGATAGATCATCCAGACAAAAAATCAACAAAGAGACTTTGGAGCTGAATCATACTATTGAGCAAATGGACCTAACAGACATTTAAAAAACATTTCACCCAATAGCTACAGAAAACACATTCTTCTAATCAACATATAGGACATTCTCTAGGATAGACAATATATTGAGCCATGAGTCAAATCTCAATAAATTAAAAATGATTGAAATCATAAAATGTATCTTCTCAGACTGCAAAAGAATAAAACTTAGAAATCACCAACAAGAACAATAGAGCATTTAAAATTAAATGGAAATTAAACAATATGCTACAGAATGACAAGTGGGTCATCGAAGAAATTAAAAAGGAAATCAAAGTCTTTCTGCATTGCATCAAAATCTATGGGATATAAACAGCACTCTGGCCTCAGAATCAGCCCTTAAGGCATTCGGATCTGGCTTAAGAGCCCATGAGAGTATTTTAGGCATGGAAAGCCAAGACACTCTGGCAAAAAAAAAAATGACCTAAATGAGTGGGACCCCCGTGGAAAGAACAGGTCATCAAAGAAGGAGGTACCTTTCTCTGAAGGGAGGAGAGAACTTCCACTTTGACTATGACCTTGTCTAAATAAGATCAGAGCTGGTGAACTCAAAAGGCTTCCATAGCCTTGGCAACTCATGACAAGAGCCTAGGGTGATTACTGACACCATAAACAAGAGTGTCAATTGTTAAGTCAACAACAGGAGTCAATGTGCACTTACTCCCCATGTAGGATCTATGTTCTTAATGGGTTGTACAACGTGAATTAATGCTATAACTAATACTCAAATAGTACTTTACATTTTGTGTTTCTGTGTGGGTGCAAACTGTTGAAATCTTAATATATATTTATTAAATTGATCTTCTGTATATAAAGAGAATTAAATGAATCTTGATGTGAATGGAATGGGAGAGGGAGCAGGAGATGGGAGGGTTGTGGGTGGGAGGGAAGTTATGGGGGGGGGGGGAAACTGATGTAATCCAAAAGCTGTACTTTGGAAATTTATATTTATTAAATAAAAGTTAAAATTAAAAAAAAATCCATGGGATAAAGCCAAAGCAGTATTAAGAGGGAAGCTTATAGCAATAAGTGCTTACGTTAGATCTCACACAATGAATCTAATGATGCATCTTAAGGACATATAAAAATGAGAGTAAACCAAACCCCAACTTAGCAGGCAGGAAGAAATAATATTGGAGCAGAAATAAATGAAGTTGAAACAAAATATATGAAAGATCAACAAAACACAAAGCTAGTTTTTTTAGAAGATAAATGAAATAGAAAAACCTGTAGTCAAACTAACAAAAAAAGAGGAAAAACTCACATACATAAAATTAGAGTTGAAAAAGTAGACATTACAACCAACATCATAGAAATACAAAGTATCATAAGAAACTACTGAGAACAACTACATACAAAATTAGAAAACCTTGAAGAAGTGGATAAATTCCTGGATACATATAACATACTAAGATTTTCTAAATCAAGAAGTTATAGAAAATCTAAACAGACCCATAACAAGTAATGAGATTGAAGCATTCATTAAAAGTCTCCCATCAAAAAAAGGCCAGAACTGGATGGTTATTAGTATTCTTCCAACAATATTAGACTCCAGTAAGATTCCAGAGTAGAAACCTGAGCTCAGTGTGGGGCACAGTGGGTGATAGGAAAGAATTAAAAATTATAAATCCTGATCTATATCAGGGACTTATTAAAGGTACAGAATTTATATAAACAAAATTAATATAATACAGACTCGGTATATAAATGCTAAGAGGTTGTTAGTGCAATTCAAGGGACTAGGAAAGCCCCCACATTCCTTATACTATTTAGTTCTTCACAACTTTCCATGGCAGCAACAGAAAACAGGTTTTATGACGTGATGGAAAAGGTAGCTCCCTGGGCACTACAGTGGGGTGGGCCTTGTGGTATACCCACTGCTTTGGGACTCCCTGAGGCAACACGCAGCCCTGGACACACTCTAAGTCTGTTCTACTTATTAAGAACACACAATACTGTGTACCAGTGACAACCTAGTTTCATGATGTACCAGTGAGCAAGACAAACAAAATGCCTACTTCATGGAACTTATACGTTGGTGGGGTAAGATCACACATACATACATACGTACATACGTAGACACTTATGTGTAGTATTTCTTGTGGTGATAAGAACTGTGAAGAAACAGTGGAAGGTACAGACGGGGCACTGGTTTGAAAAGTTGCTTTTTATGATACACTGTCAGGGAAGACCTCTCTGGAGGAAGTGTTACCAGACAGCTGATGATAAGCAGTCAGCATGGTGTGGCCATTGGGGTTAGTGGTTAAGATACCGGCTAGGTTGCACATCCCATAGCAGAATACCTAGGTTTAAGTCTTGGTTCCAATTCTGACTCCAGATTCCTGCTAATGTTGACCCTGAGAAGCAGTGGAAATGGATAAAATGATAGAGTCCCTGCTACCCACGTGGGGAACCCAGATTGAGTTCCCAGCTTCTGGTTTTAGCCTGGCTCAGTCTGGGTTATTGAGGGCATTTGAAGAATAAATCAGCTAATGGGGGCATGCCCTCCCTTTCTCTCTAATAAAGTTTTTGTTGATGTTGTTATTTTCAAAAAAGCATGGCTTGGAATTTGGAGCACCAATTAGAGTGCTGCTTGGGACACTTGCATCTCCTATTGGTACCTGAGTTTGGGTCCTGGCTCTGCTTTCCATTCCAGTTTCCTGCTAATGCACACCTTTGTAGGCTGCTAATGCAATCCTAGGAGATAATAGGTGATGATGACTCAAGTGGCTGAGTCCCAGTCACCCATGTGGGAGACCCAGATGGAGTTCCTGGATGCTAGCATTGGCTTGGCCCATCTCTCTCTCAACAAACATTTATTTCTCAGTTTTGCAGGCTGAGATCAAAGTGGAAATCAGTTAAGTTCCTGGTAAGCATTTTCCTGCCAGATGGCTACCTTCTTGCTGAGTCATCAGATGGCAAAGGTAGAGAGTCACTTTCTGTTCTTAGGAGAACACTAATTCCATTATGGGGTCCCTGGTAGTCTCATTTATACCTAAGCACCTCTCAAAGTCTTATTTCCAAATAGATTACAACTTTAACATATGAACTTGGAGGGAACACAATCATTCAGTCCGTAGCAATGCATACATTTCTCTCAATCAGAAACTGATGTATTTAACATGAAATTTTAGGAAAATATTAGATTAATAAATAAATAAATAATAGAGAAATAGAAGTATAGACATAAAAAATGAACAGAAGAGATAATATAAAACAGACTAAATTACTTATATTTCAGCATGTAGTGGGTACTCAATAAATATTTGCTTGTTATTGATTGAAATAAAACAGTCATGTATATAACACTATACTCACCCCATACATAAATATTTAGTAGTGTTTCTAATTTATTTGTTACTTAAGAAAGTATTATGACAGGATAAAAAAAGAGTGGAAAATGGATATAGGCTTGCTAGTGTATCATATCAAATATTTTATTCACATTGTATACTCCTTTTTTCCACTCATATAAAATATTTTGTGCATTGTTAATGATTAACATCTTCTCTCTTGCTCTTGTCACTTTATTTTAGGGCTTTTTTCTCTTGAATTGTCCAGACTTGACATGTTTGGCCTTCCAATTGATATACCTTAATTTATCATTTAATGATCTCTATCACTTTCCCACAGAAGTAAGTCCATTTTTATTACCATATATATTACTATACTTGTTATTGTGGATAATAATCATAATAAAATAGGTATCTTATGAAACCCTAAAGTTATTATTAAGTAAATATGGTTTTGGATTGCATTCAAAAAAAGCTATTTCAGAAGTATGAAAAGTTGGCCGGCGCCGCGGCTCACTAGGCTAATCCTCCGCCTAGCGGCGCCGGCACACCGGGTTCTAGTCCCGGTCGGGGCGCCGGATTCTGTCCCGGTTGCCCCTCTTCCAGGCCAGCCCTCTGCTGTGGCCAGGGAGTGCAGTGGAGGATGGCCCAGGTGCTTGGGCCCTGCACCCCATGGGAGACCAGGAGAAGCACCTGGCTCCTGGCTCCTGCCACCGGATCGGCGCGGTGCGCCGGCCGCAGCGCGCCGGCCGCGGCGGCCATTGGAGGGTGAACCAACGGCAAAGGAAGACCTTTCTCTCTGTCTCTCTCTCTCACTGTCCACTCTGCCTGTCAGAAAAATAACAATAAAAAAAAGAAGTATGAAAAGTATAGTAGTTCTTTCATAGGACCATGCATGATATAATCCTCAGAGACATGTTACAGTGTTATAGTCAGTCTCTCAAACATGTTCTAATAATTGTACAATGTATTTTAAATAATGTGTTCTAACTGAACAAAACCTAAGTAAGACTTCTATGTACTAATCAGAAACTTTAAAGTTAGTGATCAGATAATATTGAAACAAGTTTTCATTGTCATATGCCATATGCTAAAAGGATATTCTATTTAATAAAATGGATCAGGAACAAGTAGATATTAGAACTAGTTTAGTGTCATTTTAAATACATTAGCCATTATGAATATTTAGGGTATATTATGTCCTCTCTGTCTGGTTGTGCTTCATTAGTCACTGGATTATTGGTTGTTTTTTGAATTGATTTCCAGAGTGTTGGCTTTTAGTTGATTGATTTTAGTGAGTTGTCCTTATTCCTATTTTCGAACATGCAGTATTGAAAAGATATATTTTCCATACTTTCCGTATAATTTTTTTTTCAGTACCAGGAAGAAATGCTTAAAACCAGTTTTAGTAACTTGAAAAATTGACAGGAATTCCCAAGAGATCTTAATTCTTCACACTAATTTAATCTTTCTTCTAAGTAGACAGAGATAATGTGTAAATACAAAGGAACTATTTAGATCTAAGAAATAAAGTGAAATCTGTGAAATTTGACATTAAGGTGCAGACCTATGTTGCATAACTATAAATAAAATGTGTCAATGAGGATGGCAATATCCAGGCATAGAAGGGTTGGCTAATGATGTTCAGTTGTTAGCATGATGTAAAGGCATGAGAGGCAGAATGACACAAAAGGAGAGAGAGAGAGAGAGAGAGAGATAGAGATAGAGAGAGAGAGAGAGAGAGAGAAAGAAAGAAATATCTTCCAAATGCCGCAGTAGCTAGGGCCGGCCCAGGATAACATCAGGGAATAGGAACTCCAAAGGGTCTGTAGCATGGGTTTTTGGGACTCAAGCACTTGGGCCATCATCTACTGCTTCCCAAGCAGGAAGCTGGATTGGAAGCAGAGGTGAGATTCATTCTGGGCTTTCTGGTATGGGAGATGCACTCCAAGAGATGGCCTTAACCTGCTGCACCACAGTGCCCTCCCTGCTTTCCATCTTAAGTATGTCCCATCATAGAAGACTAATTTCATGTAAAAGTCAAGCTGTGCAATCAGGCAAAGCATGGAGTCTGATAAAATAGTTTAGGGCAAGAGAATGTAGCAGCAGCAATATTAAAGAAGAAGGTTAGTATAACAAATGCTATGGACACATTCTCGCTGTCCTTTCTTCTCTCAGCTTCTCTAAAAGACATAAAGTCATATATAATAATAATAATTGTTTTTTGTTAAGTCTGAAACATATATGGATGAAGACTGAATAACAGTTATATCAAAAAAGGATTACTCCTGAGCCAAGGGTATTGGTGTAAAGTACTTGAGTTATCTCACCTTATCACACACATTTAATGCTGGTCACTTGGTTTCGAGGTTTTTACCAAAGTTGTTTATTGAGATATATAATATAATCAGTTAATGTTGCTATATTGATTCTCTACATTAGTTCAGAGTTTATAAAATGTAATGAGTAGGGGTTTGCATACTTTATCATTCTACTCATGTTAGTTTCTCTTTTATGTTCTCCAGGTATTCTGCCTTAAAAATTTACAAGTACTGAAATTGAGAAATAATCCCATCAAAGAAATTCCTTCTGAAATCAAACAACTTAAATTCCTTAGAATTTTCTGCATTTCCTTTAATTTGATTAGCAATCTTCCACATGGGTAAGGTTGATAGTCTAGAATTTTAACAAACAGAAAATAGAGTTCATAATTTAGAAAGGGATCCATTTCATTTTAAAAGCACCTGGCAGAGTTTTGGCTATTTAGTAATTCTTATTCTGTTTTAATTAGCTTTTTCTTTTCTTATTGTGGCATTAAAAATATACTCACCAGCTATATAGATGGCAATTAACATGAGTCTAGTGAATACATACCAAGAAACCTGTTATCTGAGTAGGTATGAAGTGAACACAAATCTTCTGAAGCACTTCTGGGTGTGAGCTCTGCATACATTACGTAGCCTTTTTCATATTGGAAGAAAAGCAACGAAATTTCAATTAGGAAATCTAGACCTCTGACTTAAGTTGATGGTAATTACTTACTTGCTCTGCAGAAAATAATTTAACTGTTCTTGTTCTCAGTATTTTAGTTTATAAACTAAGGAGATTGCCCATTCGAGTATCTACGATCCTTTCCACCCTGGTAGGAGTGTTGGGATATAAGAAATGGATTTCTTCTTACATGTGAACTAATAATTATTTAACTCCTAATGAAAAATTTAAACCAAACCTTAACCAAATGCCAAAGCATGATACTTATTTTAATTATATTTTAACTAATTGAATGTGAGTTAAAAACAAAGGGATGAGGACTTATAAATAGTTAAATAATATTTTGAAAAAGGAGATTCTCTTGGTGATTATGGAAGTGCATCAAAATTAATTTATGAAGATGTTCTTCCAGCACTGTTTATAATTAATTATCCAACGAATTGGGCATTCACATTCCACATACTGAGTTATTTAAGACATTGTATAAAATAGTATACAATTTCTGCATAAAATATATATACACATCACACGTTACACAAAGCATATATAAAAAGAACAAATATACACTAAATAAGTAAGAATGCTGAATTATGAGTATTTTACTTCAGTTTGACTTATTTATATTTTTCCATAATAGCATAAATTTTATTTTTTCTGCACCAATACTACTCACATAGCCATTTCACTAAGAAAACTTTATTTATTTTTATTGGAAAATGGTGGAGTTTTTTGTTTTGAAGATTTATTTATGTATTTGAGAGTCAGAGTATAGAGAGAGAGAGGACAGACAGATAGAGAAAATTTCCATCTGCTGGTTCACTCCCCAAAAGGCCACAATGAGGCTGGGCCAGGCCAAAGCCAGGAGCCAAGAGGGTTGCAAGTACTGGTGCCGTCTTCTGCTGCTTTTCCAAACACATTGACAGGGAGCTGGATTGGAAGTGAAGCAGCCAGGTCTCAAAATGGTGCCCATATGGAATGCCAGCGCTGTAGACAGCAACTTAACTCACTGTGCCAAAGTGGTGATCCCTGGGAAATGGTATTTAAAGGCCAAGATCTGGGTGTTATTGCTATTGGGTGTCATTGCTATTGCAATATCATTGGTTCTAGGCCCTTACAGAGGTAATATGTGAGATACTTCAAAAAGTTCATGGAAATATGGAATTCAAAGGTAATTTTATTTGATACAAAAAATTTTAAAATCCAGGGTTGCTGCCACTTGCCGTGCCAACATCCCATATTGAATTGCTGGTTTGAGTTCTGGTCCCTGCACTTCCCATCTGGCTCCCTGCTAAGGCACCTGCTAATACACCTGGAAAAGCAGCAACAAATCGCCCAAATACTTGGTCCCCTACCACCCATGTGAGACCCAGAAGGAGGTCTGGGCTCCAGGCCTTTGCCTGGTCCAGCCCTAGCCATTGTGGCTATTTGGGGAATAGACCAATGGATGAAAGGTTTTTTTTTTTCTTTATTTCTCCCTCTCTGTCACTATGCATTGCAAATAAATAACATAATTTTTTTAAACACATGCATAGAGTTGTCCATAATGTGTGTTTTCCAAAAAATTTTTGAAGACCTCTCATGCATAGTTATATCAATCTGTATATACACACATATCTTTAATTATACATATGTACAATACACAACTACATAATATACACAGAAATATGTATATGTACATATATAGCTACATATGCAGTACCTAAACATGAATTCATACTAGATAATCTATAACCATAATTACATACTTTAAATAATCATAACTACCATTTAAACAAAATGTAAAAATGATCAAACTAAAAAATTAACATAACTAAAGGGTCAACATTATGTTCATTACTTAGAGATTGTGCAAATTAGTATGAACTATTGGTTACAATCAAAAGATTCTAAGGATTTATTTTTCAAAATTATCAGCATTTCTGAAATAAAGCACTATATTTTTAATTGAACATAGGATTGACCAACATGCATTCCCAAGGAAGACTGATATAATCTTGAAGTCAAGAATGAAAAATGGGGGCTGGTGCTGTGGCATAGCAGGTAAAGCTGCAACCTGCATTGCTGGCATCCCATATAGGTGCCAGTTCGAGTCCCAGCTGCTCCACTTCTGATCCAGTTCTCTGCTGATGTGCCAAGGAAGGCTCCTCACTTCAGCCTAGCCAGTCAACATGACACCCAGATTTTTAGCTAGAGTCAAGTAATTTGGTCATATAAAATATGTTTATTGAGTATTTCCTAAGTACTAGGCTTTGCTGGAAGACTTAGGTTGGGATTTTTCCTTATGGGGTTCTGAATCCAGGGCAGGATACGGATTTTTTTGAGGATTTATTTATTTGAAAGGCATAGTTACAGAAAGAGAGAGAAGGAGAGGCAAAGAGAGTTCTTCCATCAACTGGTTCACTCCCCAAATGACCACAAAAGCCAGGCTGCGCTAGGCTGAAACCATTAGCTTCACTGGGTCTCCCATGTGGGTGTAGGTGTAGGGTGTAAGCCAGGCACATTAACAGGGAGCTGGATCAGAAATAGAGAATCTGGGACTCAAACTGGCACCCATATTGGATGCCAGCATTGCAATGGGTGGTCTAATCCAGTATGCCACTATTCTGGACCCAGGATACAAAAATTTTAACAAATACCAAAATAAATATAAAACATTCTAACTGAAAATCATAATAAAGTTGCAGAGGAAATATGAATTAAATTGAGTCAGTAAGAAAGCCATGTGTGAAGAAAAGGCATTTCGGTACAAACTATTAGTGTAGGTGAAGAATAGGGGAAAATGTTCATGCAGTGCAAAGAACCTGTGGAAGGCAGGTAAGAGTTTGGACTGACAGAAGCTGACAGAAGGCTGACAGAAGGCTGACAGAAGCACAACATGGCCAGGTCCAATGAGATGACCATAAGTGAAGCTCAAGAATTTGATGGAGACCATATCCCAGGCAGTTTTGGAGGTCATAGGAGGAAATGTATGTTTTCTTTTATGTGCCATCTTCTTTGAAGATATAATTAGCTAAATTAATATGAGGTCATACTGGATTAGGGTGACCCTAATGATGAGGTCACACTGAATCCAGTGACTGGTATCGGGACTCCTGAACTGGGAAAGAATAAATTTCCATTATTTTAGAGATACTTTGTTATATAGGCCTAGAAAACTAATACAGTAACCAAGAGAAAAATATCTAAATGATATTAGCATTTTTTCAGGTGCATTTTTCTACATGGGACTGTGTTTGGGACCAGCCTCGTGGCCTAGCTGGAAAAGCCTCTGCCTGTGGCGCTGGCATTCCACATGGAGACTGGTTCAAGCCCAGAATATTCCACTTTCAATCCTGCTCCCTGCTAAGGGGCCTGGGGAAGCAGTGGAAGATGGCCTAATTTTTTGGGCCCTTGCACCTATGTGGGAGACCTGTAAAAAGCTCCTCGCTCTTGGATTTTGCCTGGCCCAGCTGCAGACTTTGCAGCAGTTTGTGGAGTAAACCAAGAGATGGAAGACACCCCCCCTGCCCTGTAACTTGCCTTTCAAATAAAGAAAATGAATATTTTTTTAAAAAAGAGGGACTTTATCCACTTCAAACATCTCAAGCCAGTCTTAATGGCTAGATGACTAATTTTTACGAACTTTCATGGTAATTATACTATATATCATAAAATGAAATTTATATACATTTCAAGATATTAAAAAAGCATAGCTTCTCTATAGTATTACCTCTTTAAGTATTCTTTGCATTTATTACAAATATAAAATCATTTTTATAATTAATTTTCTCTTCATTTTTAAGGTTATTTTCCTTGTTTCATCTTGAGGAACTTGATGTTTCCTACAATGAATTTACCTTTATTCCAAACGAAATCCACAGACTCAGGTATTTTGCAAGCCCCTGAAGATATTTTTGGTTTAGATTGTGAGGGACAAAATTGAGTCCTTTCATTTACTTAATAGCCATAAAATATAATATGTGAATCATGGAGTTCACTAAAAATGTAATTTAGTAATTGGTGTGCAGCATTTGTAAGGAATAACATCTTCAGACATTACTTGGAGGGCACTGCGGATGACCACTTAGCAGAATGACAAGCTCCTTTCATCCCTTGTACCATCTGCTCCTGTGGCTCTTACTCATTTCGTTATTTTCTGGAAGGAGAAGAAATACATAAGCACAAAATACTCCTAATATACTGTGTACTTTATTTTGTTTTAAACTTTTATTTATTTATTTATTTGAGGTGCAGATGGGGGTAGTAGGAGAACGCTCCCATCCTCTGGCTCCCTATCCAAATGCTGCAGCAGCCACTGCTGGGTAGGGCTTATGTCAGGAGCCAGGATTCAATCTAAGTCTCTCACATGACGGCTGGAACCAATCAACAGAGTCAGCACTGCTGCTGCCTCTTGAGGTCCACATTAGCAGGAAGCTGGAATCAGAAGGCGCAGGCAGGACTCAACCCAGACACTTTGATGTGGGACAGGAGCACCTTAACTGGGGTCTGTCACTATGACCAAAGCCCATTCCACACAGTGTAAACTTAATGTTAAGCTCTGATTCTTTCTCATATTAATTTTTAAAAATCTGAAGCTCATCCGTGTCCTTCTGGGTCAGTATTACAATATCTTGATTATGACTTCAGAATAATTTTTAATAACTAAATTATTTTTCAATAATAATCTCAGCCATTCTATTTAGATTATAACCTTAAAGATCATTTAATATAATTCCTCCTTCAACACATATAAACACAAAGTTAGAATTTTAATTGCAATTACCTTGAGCTTACACATAAATTTTGAAGAATTTATTGTATTTTTGATGATAATAAATTTTTCCATTCTGAAGCACATTCAGATGCCCTCATCCCACATCGGAGTGCCTGGGTTCAAGTCCCACCTCCACTCCTGATTCTAGCTTCCTGCTAAGGCACAGCCTGGAGTGCAGCTGGTGATGGCTCAAGTGGTTGGGTTCCTGCCATGTTTTCTGGAAACTCAGAAGCATTCTCTTCTCCCAGCTTTGGCCTAAACCAGCCCTGGACATTGTGGGCCTTTGGAGAGTGACCCAGAGGAAGGGAGATCTGTCTGTCTGTCTTTATCAATCTTTGTCTCATTGTTTATCAAATTAAAAATTCTGCATGTGTTTTATTGCTATTAAATATAGTACTAATTTTCAAGAACACTGGAGCAGAATTTTATTTCAAAATTATAAATTATATAAATATGTTTTAAATGTAGTCTTTTCATTTACAGATCACTTGACAAACTGCATATTGATGGGAATTATGTGACTTCTTTACCACCTGGCATTTTAAGGCTTAACCTGACAAAAATCCACTTGGAGAATACTTTCACCCTGCCTTATTTTTGGACAGAGAATTCTTTGAATAGTCCACAACGACTTACTCAAATTACTGCTTTGTTCATGCTCGTAAATAATATACACAAATTATATGAAAAGATTCCAGTGAAAGCTAAACTGTTACTAAAAAGGTAAGTAAATTCTGAAGTTGTTTTAACCAAAATACACTTCTGAGCATCCAAAATTCTCTTGGGACAGGCATTTCGCCTAGCATTTGAGACACTGTATCCCATATTGAAGTTCCTGGGTTTGACATCTGCCTTCATCCCTTGACTCCAGCTTCCTGCTAACGCAGACCCTGGAAGGCAGTGATTGGCAGCTTAAGTTGTTGGGTCCCTGTCACCCATGTGGATTGAGTTTCCAACTGCCAGCTTCAGCCTGGCCCAGTCCTGGCTGTCGCAGGCATTTTGTGGGTGAGTCAGCAGATGGGAACTGCATCTCTCTGCCTCTCCAATATACAAATAATTTTAAAAATTAATATGTTTTCATTACAGGCCCAAAGGATACTTTTTTTTTTTTTTGACAGGCAGAGTGGACAGTGAGAGAGAGAGACAGAGAGAAAGGTCTTCCTTTGCCGTTGGTTCACCCTCCAATGGCCGCCACGGCTGGCGCACTGCAGCCGGCGCACCGCGCTGATCCGATGGCAGGAGCCAGGAGCCAGGTGCTTCCAAAGGATACTTTTACAAACACACACACACATATACACACTCTGTTACAAAATCATACATATGATTCTCTACATTGCTTCTTCTGGTTCTTCAAGTGTAATAGTGCCGTGTGCATTTGGCCCTAGTTTCTAATATAATGAAGTTATTACTTAAGTCCAACGCGAAGTGCAGGTTGCTGGGGTATAACTGGCAGTGTCTATACAGCTGTGGCATAAATCTTTTATATGAATTCTTGAGTAACATAGAAGTAGGTCCTTCTGTTGTATAGCCCTAGGCACTCTAGATGATGGAACACGTTATTCCACTGTAACCTCACAGAGAACAGGAATACGGAAAGTATACATGAGTGACTTCTTTCCCTCTAATTTCAAAGACCATTGCCTGATCTCAAGACTAGGGTTTGCAAAACCCCCACATTTCATCTACACAGGTTTGTTTCTGATTCCTCTCAGAGGGTTTGAAATGATTTCTACTTAAATATTGATCACCAGTGCCTGAATCACTGATTTACCAAATATTTACTTTATGCTTAAGTAAAATGGCTTCCCAGGAATATATATATATATATATATTACTAATATTGACTCAATAAAGGCAAATTCAGACTAATAGCCACTAGAGAAACTGAAAAAAAATTATTAAAGACCTATTACCAATGAAAAAGATCCAGGCCCAGAAGTTTTACAACTTTAAAGAATTCATATGTTGATACTCACGAAATTTGAACATGGTAAAGTATATAGTAAAAAAAAATCTCCAAGGACAAATGTTTTTTAAGAATAAAAACCTAATCAGTGAGTGGTTAATAGATAGGTGCCCATGAGATTTGGTTTCACCACAGGCAGAGGAATTAAAACTGAGATTCCCGAGTAAAATGTGAACCCAGCCAAAAAAGGGGTAAGAAATCCCAAATGAGTGAATGATGTCTCTCTCTCTCTGCAGAACAAATGTTTTTGAGAGGAATAAACTCAGTTTAGTCCATAAAAGGTCCATACAATCAAGTCCAAATGAATATTGTCTCACAAGTTAAAGAAATTTCCAATAGGCTGGCGCTGCTGCTCACTTGGCTAATCCTCCGCCTGCGGTGATGGCACTCTGGGTTCTAGTCCCAGATGGGGCGCCAGTTCTGTCCTAGTTGCTCCTCTTCCAGGCCAGCTCTCTGCTGTGGCCCGGGAAGGCAGTGGAGGATGGCCCAAGTGCTTGGGCCCTGCACCTGCAAGGGAGAACGGAGGAAGCACCTGGCTCCTGGCTTCAGATTGGTGCAGCGCGCCAGCCGTAGCGGCCATTTGGGGGGTGAACCAACGGAAGGAAGACCTTTCTTTCTGTCTCTCTCTCTCACTGTCTAACTCTGCCTGTCAAAAAAAAAAAAGAAAGAAATTTCCAATACATGGGGAAACATGACACTAAGAATAAAAGTTACCCAAAACAATCAGCGGATACTAATCTCCAAACATGTGTGATATTGGCATTATTTAAAGACTATGCAATACTTTCTCAGAGTATTTCAAGAAATAAATATATTTTTAAAAATAGTTAAGAGATTATTGGGTCACTCTTGGTGGCGCAGCAGGTTAAGCTGCTGCTTTGGCTGCCCACGTTCCATGTTGGAGTGCCTGGACTGAATCCCAGGTATCAGCTGTTCCTTGCTTCTGCTCCACCTTCCTGCTGATGTCCTTGGAGGCAGCAGAAAATGGCCCGGCCCAAGGATTTGGTTTCCTGCCACCCTTGGTGCAGTTCCTAGCTCTGGGCTTCAGCCTGCCATAGCCTCAGCCATTGTGGGCATTTGTAGAGTGAACCAGCAGATGGAAATCCATCTCAGTCTCAATCAATCTCTCTCTCTCTCTCTCCCCCATTGCTTTACCTTTTTAATAAATAAGTAAATAAATAAATCTTTTAAAGAGATTTCCAGATATGATCAGGAAGATATGCAAAAGAAACTTTAAATGAAACAAAATTCTAGAAACAAAAAGTTTAATAATTGAAATTCACCTGGGGCATGGATGAAATAGTGTATTATATACAAATGACAAGAGACCTGAAGAAGTGATGATGAAGATGCAGACAGAGGTAAGAGTTAAGAGCGAAGAAGAAGAATCAGCATACACTGAGGGTCCCAGAATGGGAGACCAGAGACAATGCTTCATGAGATAATCACTACACAGTCTCAGAAGTGATGAAAGATGTGAATTCACAGACACAGAAAGCTATAACTCACAGAAAATTGGTTAAATGGTAGGAAAAAGCAAGTCTACAGATGGGTGATAAACATGAAGAATGCTCAATATCACCAGTAATAAGGGAAGTGCAATGGAAAATAGTAACAGTAGATTTTCTTTTTTAGCCTCCCTGTTTTATCATAATTAAAAGACTGGGAGCAGGCATTTGGGGAAGCAGTTAAGAAGCCTCTTGGGGTGCTTGCATCCCATATTGGAGTGCCTGGGCTGGAGACCAGCTCTATTATCAGTTCCAGTTCCCTGCTAATGTGCACCCTGGAGGCAGTAGTGATGGATCAAGCTGTTGAGTTCCTCCACCCAAGTGGGCTCCCAGCTTGAGCCTGGTCCTTTCCCTGGCTGTTGTAGGCATTTAGGAAGTGAATCACCAGATAATAGCTCAAGTTATCTTGCTGGCTGGCTTTCTGCCTCTCAAATTATTTTAAAATGCATAATGACCATCTTTCATAATGACCTTCTTTGACTCTTTTAGAAGTTTTTGTCGTAGAGTCTTCTGCTTTTTATATGAGTGTAGCTATATCTGCCCATTTTTGATTTCCATTTGCATGGATATCTTTTATTTATTTATTTATTTATTTGACAGGTAGAGTTACAGACAGTGAGAGAGAGAGAGACAGAGAGAAAGGTCTTCCTTCTGTTGATTCACCCTCCAAATGGCCACAATGGCTGGAGCTGTGCTGATCCAAAGCCAGGAGCCAGGAGTTTCCTCCTGTTCTCCCTTGTGGGTGCAGGGGCTCAAGCACTTGGGTCATCCATCACTGCTATCCCAGGCCACACGAGAGAGCTAGACTGGAAGAGGAGCAACTGGGACTAGAATTGGCGCCCATATGGGATGCTGGCACCTCAGGTGGAGGATTAACCTAGTGCCCCACTGCGCCGGCCACATAGAATATCTTTTCATTTCAGTCTGTGTGTATCTTTATTGGTAAGTGTGTTTTTTATAGACTGCATATAAATCAGTCTTCTTTAAAAAAATCTATTCAGCCAGTCTATATCTTAATTGGAGAATTTAGTCCATTTATATTCAGTTATTATACATAAATAATAACTTGCTGCTGCCATTTTCCCACAAATATTCCTATTGTTGATTTTGAGTCTCCTTTATTCTTTTACTAGGAAGTTTTGTGCCTTCACATTCTTTCATGATGCTAATTATCTTTCTTGGTGATGTGAGGATAGTAACTGTATATACACCCAATACTAGGTTACCAGTTTTGTAAATAAAAATCCATAGGATATAAAAAGAGACATGGGATCCAGTACAATAATAATGGGGGAACTCAGCACCCCATTTTCAAAAATAGACAGATCAACAAGTCAAAAAATTAACAAAGAAACTATAGAGCTAATCTATACAACAGATCAAATATACCTAATAAATATCTGCAGAACATTTCTTCCCATAGTTGCAGAACACACATTATTTCCATCAGTGCATGAAACAGTCTCTAGAATAGACCATACACCAGGCCATAAAAGAAGTCTCAACAATGTTTAAAAAAATCAAAATCATACCATATATCTTTTCTGACCACAATGATATGTGAAAACACAACGTATCAAAGCTTACAGGATATAATTAGTGCCTACATCAAAATATTAGAAAGGTACCAAATGAGCTATCCAATAATGCATCCCAAGCACCTAAAAAACAAGAATAAATCAAATCCAAAATTAGTAGGAGAAAAGAAATAATTAAAATTAGTTGATAAAAAAGCAAAATAGAAGTAAAAAATTATACCAAACATAAGTGAAATAAAGAAGTTTTTTTTTTTAAAATGAAAGTGGTAAACCATTAGCTTAAATAATAATAAAAAAAACTGGAGGAGAATATCCAAATTAATTAAATCAGAGATGAAAAAGGAGATGCAACTGATACCACAAAAAATACAAAGAATAATTAAGAATTATTACAAACAGTTGTATACCAGCAAATTGGAAAATCTAGAAGAAATGGATAGATTTCTGGACACATACAATTTATCAGAATTAAGGCATAAAGAAAACCCGAATAGACAAATAATTAAGACTGAAATTGAGTCAGTAATAAAGACCCACTCAACAAAGAAAAGCCCAGGACCTAATGGTTTCACAGCTGAATTCTACCAAGCTTTTAAGGAGTAACTACTCCAGATTTTTCTTAAACTATTCAAAGCAGTAAGGAAGGGAGGAAATACTTCCAGACTCATTCTATGAGACCAGCATTACCTTAATTCCAAAATCAGAAAAAGA